CTTTCTGTTCAGGTTCGTGGACCTTGATCTGCTTTATCTTCTCTTCTTTCTGAGGTGTCTCCTTTATATTTTCTTGACAAATATTTATAAATAAAAATTGCTAGAACAAGTAACTGTAGTAGCTGGAATTTTGGTGATTTGCTGTAGTTTTATATTTTTGGGAAACAATTACAACAGGTTTCCATTTCAAGTTTATGGTAAAAGAGAGTCTAAAGATACCGAAGGGTTATTCAGACTCATAAGACGAAAACAAACTGACATTTCCATGTCAAAATATGAAAATCGAATAAAAGTGCAGTATACAAAACAAATATAGAAAAACTAAAGACGAGCAACACAAACACCAACAAAAACCGGGGGAAATCGCACGTGCTTACAGACGGGTAAGAAGATCCTGCTCTACATGCATGTGGCACCCGTCATGTTGCTCATTCAAGTACAAACCCAGTCATAATTCTAATTCGGTAAGTCAAATTCGAGGAAAAAAGGACGGGATTACGGTTACGAAATTATGACCATATCCGACGTCATCTGTGAGTGAACGGATATGCCGTAACGGTCAACCAATTCGTAATAGGCGATGTACATATATCACATACATTTTTGTAGCACTAGATAGTGTGTTAGGCTCTAAAAAAACCTGGGAAAACCAATCTTTATTTAAAAATAATTTGCTATAAGTATACGTTAATCTTTTTTTTTCTGTTTTAAGTTAAAAAAAAAACAGTACTTTTTGAAGTGTCAAATACCAACCATGAATCAATTTAGAAACAGGAATCAAAATAGTGGTGCACATTTTATTATTTAATTACGATTAATTTTAGTCAAACCAGGAATTTTATTTTGTAAATGATTGATAAGAATAATTCCTTTTCTTTTAAGAATTTACATTTACATTAAAAGAGCTACAATTGTCCTAAGCATTGTAAATCATTAAACGTAAATCACAATGAACACGAAAGTTTGTTTACCTTCTTGACAAAAGATATCAATTTCAAGGTATCGTGCTAACATGAAGTGAATAAAAACAACTATCTTACTGTCCTATAAGGAAAAGATATAAATCTTAATGTCTTTATATCATAAAAGTTTAAAGTTTCGAAAAAAATAATTACACGATGACATTTGAATAGTATTAAATCTTTCAAAAAGCTCTGTGGAGTAAATGATTAATGATACAATTAGTCTCGATACACTGCATTAATTTCCTATAATACAGATTACAGACACATTACTCTAATAAAAATGCAAATATCTTTTAAAAATGACATGCGAAAGATTTAAGGAATAACAGTACAGTTACTCTATTTGAAGAGTTGCCACCGTCAATTGGGGATTTGATGGTGGTTAATCTTCAACTACAGTACTTTATTTATATTAAAATGCAATGCTCTCAAAATGTTCAAAAGAGAATATTTCAAATATATACCGTAAACTTCAACTACGATTGCGCAACGTTGTTGCTAATGACTCTCCGACCGTCAACCGTGGAATTGATTGCAAACGTCATTCAATCAAAACAGTCGATACATGCATACTTGCAATTAGAATTAATTTTCAAATCAGTAAACTATTTGAAAAAAAAAAACATTTGGATTTAATACGTTGTCTTCCCTTTCACAGTTATCATTGAATACGGAAGACAATTCTTTTAAAGTAAAATAATAAAAAAAAAAATATCTCCAGAGGGAATTATTCGAAATTGAAGTCATAAAAGATAAAAAAAAAATGTTTTAATATCATCGTTGTTTATATTTTCGTGCAATGCTGTACTAAAATTAGGCTGTTCGTTGTCTATCTTGATTTATCTCACATTTTCAATTCCAAAGGGAAATGTATATAGCTTGTCTTATAGTATCCTTCTTTGATTGAAAATCGTTAGGTGTTAGTATTTCATTATTTGTTTTCATTTTCCTACGTGCGTGTTGTTTCTAATGATAACAGTATTGTGCATCCTTTGTCCAGAAAACCGTGTTTTTATTCAAAAGTTTCGTTTCACATTCGGTGTATTTCGGTGATAAATTTTCATGGTTTGTGAATTTAGTAATGTCTAAGGGTTAGACAGGAAACAAATATGCATTTACTTATTTTTTTTTTTTTTTTTTTCAATGGTTCTTATCCCTGGATATGTACATTTATGTATCTTTAACGTATTTAAGCAAGTAAATTGGCCGATGTCAAAATTAGAACTAGATCAACTACATGTACCTTTGCATAAACACATATGGCAAAATTTGGGGTAATTTGCTAATTTGCATAGCGGCCATTTTGCCTTATCATGACGGCAGCCATTACAATAGGATTATATAAGCCCTTTTAATAAAAATGCCAATATGCAAATACCTATGTCGAATGAACAATTTGTTCGCATATAGGTGAATTGTTCATGTTTTTAGGCTTCTGTCCGTGTACAAATGGACATTGTCTACTCTGAAATCTTTCGGCCTTTTTAGTTTAAAAATCGGAAGCGTAACCATTGTGTAATTGCTATATAAGATCAAATAAAATGACGTAAAATCGTAAAATAGCAAGATTCAAAACAGAAATACACAAGCAAGAAGATATTGTTCATCATTTGTTCGCATATAGAAAAACACCTTGTAGGTTGAATTTTAAAGTTAAATAACTTTTAACTTACCTGCTTTCTTAAGTTTTCGGCCAAATTCTTTTAAAAACATGATGATTTCAACCTTCCCATTTCGTAAAAAGTCAAATTTTAAGCATTTTCCCTTAGAATTACACAGCAATTTTGTAAATATCCGCCAAAGGAAGTTTTTGAAGATACATTTGTTTTAGATACATGACGGAAAAGGACTGGATTATCCGCAAATCTATAATAAATTATATTTTCAATCTTAAGCTAAGGGAAGTAATTTTATCAAAAGGGACAAAGTCACGTGGTTCAAATGATTTAAATAAAGTACCTTTGATTTTGCCATATGAACCGAATCCATCCCCAATTTTTTTTAGCGGGGTTCGTGTTGCTCAATTTCTACGCTTTGCTTGTTTTATCTTTTTTCATAGAAAAAAAACGTGTCTAACTTGTTCATTCTTTTTTGAACAACCTAATCAGAGGCACCGTTAGTTGTAAATCATTGTTGTTGTAAACTTTCCGTTCCATGGCAAGTATTTAATGGATATCCATGGCAAAGCGATACTATTTGTATTATGTTCTTTAAGTGCATAGTTCGATCATAAACTCTTTCGATGCAGACATGGTCACGCGACAAATCAGATACATGTTTTATCACATTTTTTACCTAATATATATTATGAACGTTTGTTCTGACATACGTCATAAGTACACGACACTGTTACGACATTGAGCGTAATTACGACATTTAACGTAATTGTAAAACACCGTCACTGATTATGAAAGCAAAGGGAAGACTATAGTCAATCTTCACAGGAGATTATCACTCATTTATCCCTCAATTAATTTAAACAAATCGTGACTTTTTTTTTAAAGTGCACTTATTTGGCTATGCACCCAATAGTTTATTTATTGATTATTTCTTTCCAATTAATAGTTTTTCAGTCAAATTGAATGTTCAGTTTATTTTTTTGAAAACAAATGGACAGTAAAGACTAGACATATTTTACATTGATAGTCAGTTACTGTTATGGATGTGCAAGATAACTGACGGAGGCTTTCATTCCCTTTGAATATATGGACTGTAACTTTATTAATTCGACCAGTATTTCTCTGCAGTAAGTCATATGGATTATAAATAGCTTCATAATAGGGAGTGAAACAGAAGTTGGAAATGTCTGCAATAATTTGATTTAAAGGATTTTTTTTACTGTTAAATATAAGTTTATGAAAACTTTGTTTGTTGTTCTAAACTAAGGTAGCATGTTTCTCTGTCAAAACGTTAGCATTTAAGATATCACGTTTGACTGTGCTTTTGATGATGTAGTCGGGTGAAATTTAAAAAATCTGGAATTAAAATTGATACTTTAAATCAGAAGAACATTATTTAAAGAACAAATATGCTAAAAATATTGATAGGTTATGGAACCCCTTTTCGAGATATTTGATTTTTTTTTTTGACGGGAAAAGGCTGACTCGGACTTTAACCTTATATTTAGCATTGACATTACTTGGTTCCCAAATCGTAAGAAAAGAAATATAGAATCTGCTTAAATTTTGGTAAATAACCTTTTATAAGCAATTGAAGTCTTACATGAAAAGAAAAGTGGGTGATATGGGGCAAAATATTTTACCTTGTATCGTATGAAAAAACCCAAGGAGTCCAAACTTCTGACAAAAATTACCAAGCCTGACATGACTTCATCCTTAAGGTCCTTTTTTTTTCATACATACATTTAGCTTCTCAAACATTTTTCTAGATGTCGTGAGAGCACAATTCAGTACCATATACATTTACAGTACATAAGTACACTTTTAAATATCTAGAATTTCATCCTTAACTGCAATGCTTCTAATGCCTAGACTAACCTTTTAAGTACCATTTTGATAGATTTGTATAATTATTCATTTTAAAGTTCGTTTTGTAAAATTAAATCTACTAATCATGTGAAACAAACATCTGTCAATGGTAATTAATGATATATCTACGACGACAAGATGTTCTGTCTATAGAAAAAAAGTTAATTATCCAGAGACAGACTAGGCTTATGTATAAGGAATCAGAAAAACACAAAAAAGGTAATGTTGTCTTGTTATATTTAGACAATGATTGATGGTCCGAGTCTTAAACTTGTTAGACAAATTAACTAAACAATACGTCGAAATTGCAGACATTATTCTCATACACGATTGAAGTAAACAAGCACTTAACAGAAACCGAAACCAACCTTATTGGTATTATTGAAAAAAAATAACAGTTAGAGTACATCTCCTTACAACGTCTACTACAATCACTAAACCACTTAACGTAGTTATCAAGTGTAATAAAGCTAGTTTGATGAATTGAGAATAATTAAAAAACAAAATAAAAACAAAAAACAATCTATACAGTTCTTGTATCTTTCAGATGGCGATACAAACAAAATCTTTATGGTAAGACGATGAACTGACAACCACAGGAGTAATTCTGAGGTGAGTTAAGTGTTGGTAGCTAATATATTACAATATGTGTGAAATTGGTACTGGTATCTATTATGAATAAAAGGAGATGTAAAGTATTCGTCAATAAGACAGCAATCCAATGACAAATTTAACCAAAAAGACATCCAGAGACAAACACATGTACAGTTTATATAATATGTCAAATTCTTAAACGTCCAGAGTCAATAAAAGAGAGGCGAAAGAGACCAAAATGGATAGTAAACTCATGAGTCGAAAACGAACTGACAATGTCATGGCAAAAAAAAACAAATAAAACTACAAAACTAATGACTGAACAAAACGAACACCATGAAAAGCGGGGATGATCTCCGGTGCTCCGGAAGGGTCACATGAGTCTAAATAAATTGTAAATCAAACAGACCAATCAAAGATCTGACATCAACACAAAATTCTCTAATGAACGAAAAACATTAAGACATGACATACGACGCATGCATATTTTGCAGGGTTAGATCTCAACTCTCTCGCTTGTTTTAAAGTGTCATTTAAACAATATATGAAGCTTTTAAAAATTAAACTTAAACGATGGTTAAAAGATTACATTAACATCTAAACGATTGAAGAAAACGTAAGCAATGAAAAATCCAGAAATAGACAGGGAAAAATATCTTACAATGCTTATAACAATTTGAAAGCAATAAAATATAAGTACCGAAAATAAAAGCCTGGGTAATGAGAACTTTAATAGATGTTGTAAATAAAATAAGGCTGATATATATGCTCATAATGAAAGGCCGGCCAGATAAACACATAGTATCACTTAGAAATTGCGATAAATGATAAAACGAAAGCTTTTGTGTAATTTATGTGCATTTTTGCAAGCCTTTTGAAGTAGCTTTAGACTGATATTAAAATCAATTGTTTGTCATTTTTATATCAGGATTATGTACCCCTTTTTTATATCTACAGTTTTTTTATATGTAAAACTCGTTTGCATACTCAGATGATGTATCTAAATATCTTTTGCAGGAAAAATGACTAATTTAACAAATTTATTGTTGAAATATATAACTTCGCCGGAGGAAGCAGCCTATGTACTGGACTTTCTAAAAGAGCAGAACTATTCGGTTCAAAATCAAAATGATCTTATCAGCCTTATCAAAAATCTTCATTATAACGAATCGAACACGCCTTCAGGTACACTGTATGCAACTGATGACATGTTGAAACTGTATATATCACCACTTTTACTTGTACTAGGAACCATTGGTAATATACTTGCTTTCGTCGTCTTGGTGAAAAATTCACATAAAGTATCAACATACCACTATCTGTACGTGCTAGCTGTAATGGATATACTCTTGTTGATGACTAACTTATTACAAGTTTGGATTAAGCAATTAACCGGTATATTAATTCAAAACGAGGCTGATTGGTTGTGCAAATTGTTCGTGTTTGTGGGATTTTTCAGCAGTGATGCAAGCGTTTGGTTGATAATTGCCGTCACAGTTGAACGCTGGATTGCCGTCCAGATGCCTTTAAAAACGTCTATGATATGCACTCCTAGGCGAACAAAATTGTCGGTTATTCTTGTGCTGGCAGTTATAGCCTCATTAAATTCACATTTCTTGTGGTCAGTGGGTATACAAACAACCAACGGTACAGGTACATCTATAACATATGAATGCGCACCTTCACCAGCATATGCAACGCTTATCAATACTGTATGGCCCTGGGTTGATGCAATTATCTATTCTTTCTTACCTTTTGTGATCATAAGTGCTGTTAATTTTATGATTATCAATACCGTTTGTAAGGCGAGGCGCAGGCGAGAAACACTGTTATTATCGTCTAAACAGAAGAAAATAGAAACTCGTAGAGCTAATAGTAAACTTACATTAATGCTGTTAGCACTTTCATTTTCCTTTCTTTTCTTAACATTACCAATGAACATAATGATGATAGCAGTAGTTTTCTGGAATAAAGAAAACCACTCAGCGGAAGAAAATTGGACATTCACCTTAATCAGAACGATAACAGAATTACTCATGTATACCAATCATACTGTAAATTTTATGTTGTATTTCGTTACCGGGCAGAGGTTCAGACAACAGTTTGTTAAAATTTTTATTCCCTGCTACACCTCATGGTTTACTGCAAATGAAAACGAACGAACACAACACAATACACACCACATGAAGCGTGTATCTTCATGGAACAGTGACAAGAACATAAAAGACGATATTGCAAAACCAAGTTTTATACGCTCAAACAATATGAAACATCGTCATGGACAGTATGTTTAGAACAGTAATTGAAATATAGATTGAATAATCTTTCAGTTTTAATTTCAAAATTTGTATTTTAAATTTACACAATGAACATCAAGCAGACTTGGATATAAATGAAATAAGTATAGAGCTTTGTCCGTAACTTGAATGAAATAAATGTTCAATAGTAATCTATGTTTTTATATGTATAACGTACCATGAATAATTGTGCTTGTTCCGTTGAGGTAGCCCTTGCGATAGTTAACGTTCATATGCAATCATTCAGACATTAAGAATATGAAAATGTGATTTGATCCGTTTAATGCAATAACAAAATTTAAGATAATCAATTTTAGAGTATTTATGACTTTAATATTGAGTTTTTCTTTTTCGGTTAAAGAAAACAGTATTCAAGTCTGAGACGTTTTCAATATCGCAGCAAGGTTTTAAGTATTAAGGAGTCTGTGCGAAACAGCCAGCATATGTAACTTGACATTACAAAACTGTCACACCTTTCCTCTTTTAATTCCACCCCATCCTCGATCCCCTTTTCTTGTTTTTGTACAAGAATCAAGTGGTGATGATTTGGGAGGGTGTAATTGGGCAAATACACTGTCCACAACGGGGACAATATTCGTAGAAAACGACAATATCGAAATTGCGATTTTTTGGTCAGTATTTTGGATGTAAAGGTACCCGTTCACGTCTACTTAAACGCGCGTTTCGTCTACAAATGACTCATCAGTGACACTCGAATCAAAAAAGTTTAAAATGCAAAATAAAGTACGAAGTATTGGGGTGTAAACATATGCATTCACGACTACTAAGTAATAAATTTTGTTTTATTGGATAAAGTGCAAGATTTTAGTACAAAACACACGTTTACCTGTGTATGAATGAGTGAGCTATTTTAATCAAAAAGAACTCATATTATTTTATCACATTTTGAAAAGGGACTGACAGTGATGAATGCCATTTGTTGTTCCAAAATATCTGTCAATGAGTATCAAACGTTTGGAATATAAAAATATTAACCGGTAAAGTCTAAACCAGAACAGTCAAAATCATCTATGGTGAATGTTGCAAAAGGGAGTTGCCATCTTACATGTAGTTTAAATGAAGTTAGGTAAGAAACAGGAAATTTACTATCACAATGTATATTGATCATTTACACCATGCAAGAATAAAAACGATAGATGGAGCCATAGTGACAGTCAAACTGCAGTGAATAAAGGTAATATAATGTGCACGACACCTGTTTCTAGAATAAGCTTCACTAAGGAAACCCGAAACCAAGAGCAGCAATTTCTATCTAGAACTTGACAAACATTGTATTGTATAAACAAGTTACTGTTTTAAAAGTCTAAATGTCGTTCTGATGTTGTTGTTGTAGGGTTTCTGTCTCATTAACGTTTACTTCACTTTTATTGATATTGCAGAAAACTAAAATAATTTGAAATTGAATTTATTTTTGATGAAATTTGTTGCAAATATACGGAAGCCTCGGAGTGCCATTCAAAAACGTAATCATAACTCGTGCGCACGGGTTACTAACGTGTGTCTACGAATTTACAACTTGTGCGGACGAGTGACACAGGTTATGCGCACGTATTCTAATTGATATGCGCACATTTTCGTAGAAGCCTAATAAGCTCTTAGAAACAGAATATTATTAGCCTTCTGAGCAAAATGTGCACATGTCAATTAGAAGTTGTGTAACTCGTTCGCACAAGTTAGAAACTCGTGCGAACGAGTTGTAAATTCTATTTTTGCATGGCACTCCAGTGCTTTCGTAGACAGGAGATACACACCAAACATTTTAAATTGGTAGACGCATCTTTACAATTTAACAAATCATCAAGAAAAAAGACCACACCTCAGATGCTGCATCTCCGAGTGCATACAAAGATCTACAAATGTGAATTGAAAAGAATTTATTTAGTTGTTCTGGGAATAATATTACATTCTAAATGAAATAATTTGTCGAACAATCTTGGTGTGGGAAATTTCAATGAAATGATAAGGGTGCTTTAAATAATATATTAAGTCTGAAAACCGATTTACTCAATATTGAGCAACAGAAAATGAGAAAAAATCTAAACACAAAAAGAAATACAATAATTTTCTCCCTCGATTCGCTCGTCGAAACATAATTTTTTTCTTATTATATTTAAGTGACAACGAAGACTGAAATGACAGTACATATATTACAGTAATTTGTATAATAAGGGACTATGGATAATCACTAGTAAAATTTTTCATGAATTTTGCACAATCATTAGAACAAATGTCAGGGATTATACATAACAATTGGTATGAAGAGACAGTGAATAAAAGTTAAATAATATTCTATGAAAACGTATTTAAACATATTTAGAAACATACATATTGAAATGTTAAGCATAATATTCCAATACGAATCATTCATTTTACAAATTACATTGTAAATTTGGATGACGTCTACTATTGCACATTTGCTCAGCTTTTCGATTTTTGTAACACCCACTTTAAATAATAAATTTTGTCCTTCAAATATTGAATCAGATTTTACTGCACGTTGAAGAGAAATAAAGTGTTTGTTAGAAACATCTGAAGTTTTGTTTATGAGTTAATGTGGTTCAAAACAGTAAAATAGCATATAACAGGAAAAACTGTTAGCTTTAGATGTGAAAAATAGTCAGGGGATGAAAAGTGTCTGCAGAAATCTTAAAGGGGTAAGAAATAAAGATGATTTATTTGTCTATATTTGAATTATTTTTATCAAACAAAGGATCTTTGTACCGTTGATAACTCATGAAATAATATTAGGGAATTTTTTTTAATTAATTCTTAAAATTTTCAGTGATTATGTAAAATCACTGGTCATTTTCAAGGATTACATATAATAACTAATGATTAAAGTGATTGTGCAAAATCTTTTCAGGGATTCTACATAATCTCTAATTTACTGTAACAGATACAAGTGTACATACCTAACAGTTCGACAAAGCAAATGAAATATGTGTAGACCGATATTAGTATCAAATAGAAGCTTAAAATTCAACTGTTGAGTGCAGATAACCTCTTATATAAATGTTTAATGTACATGTAATTGCATTTTGAAAGATTTGGCTTTCAGCGACCGCGTGCTTTTGATAATCTCAGTTATACTGTTATACGCCTCTGCTTCCCAGGCTAAGAAGATTAAATTTTCCTTTACCAGAACTTGCTTGACGCAAAGCTTCTAAAAGCAACTATCTTGCTATGGTATAATATATATGTCTGTCATTTTTACAAATTGCATACGCATTTTTGGCTTTTAAGAATTCACAGTAATTGCTCTAAAAATAAACTAGCAGGAAATCAAAGAAATGTTTCCTTCTTTTAAAAATATCTTTAACATGGTCACTGAACACATGTCCGATTTTGTTCTAGCAATACAAATACAGTGAAGTGTTACCATGTCTATTAAAATCAGTTTTGCTACTTTCTATTATTTCATGGAGATGATTATTGTGTGAAACAATACAATTGGAATCTTTAACATATACAAGCTCACAAAAACGTAAAAACCGGCGTATCCCAGCAGCATCAAATAACAAATTACTATTCAAGTCATCATAATTATCGAGCATTTCAGAAGTGATTGGGTTTCTTGTGTAAAGACTTTGATAATAGTATTCTAGTTCCTTCTTCTAAAATCAACTGCAAAAAAGTTTCAGAAAACACTGAATTGTACAAGTCACGCTCCTGTCTCCATTTGGTTGCCTAATTTCTTTATCAGCATTTTGTAAATTTCCAGTTGAATTAAAGGGCATTAGCTACGAAAAAGACAAAAAATTAAAATATGATATTTTGTTTTATTTCAAACATTTATAAAAAGCAAAATATAGATATAAATATAAAAAATTAATAGCTATTAGCAGTCAGTTTGGTTCAATTTTGTCAAAATAACAAAAAAAGAAATACATCGCTGATTTCACGATTATTGGCTGGCAAGTCAATGATTCAACCTCATTTGAATTCGTATTTATGTAACCCTTAATTTGAACTTTAGTGCGGATGTGGAACGCATGTGTTCAACATCTGGATTATTCATTAAAGATAAAAGACTGTCAGCATTGATAAGTAAAACAAGGGAGACACCCGAAATAACCGTAATTTCTTGAAGTGATCCCGCTCACAAAAAATTTCGTTTACAGATTAAACGATGATATACATATATTTCTAATTTATAATATGAAACCAAACAGACCTAGTTTATCATCATTATATGATTGTACGTGCTTGACTGTTTATATTTATATTTTTGTTTATGATTATATCGGGTTATACATGTATGACCATTGGCAGTCTTCGGAGGTAATCGCGATTAAAAATTAGATGGCGTCTAGTCTTAAATACGCACTTTTAAAATGCTGATACATTATAACGAGTCCATGCTTTGTTCATTATCTCTTTAGTACATTTTGTTATTTATATTATGAATCAAATCTGAGAATTTGGGTCAAATCGGTCAATATGAATTTGACAGCTAATGCCCCTTTAAATAAAATATTTATACTTCAATGGTAGCCGCTGAAGCTAATATAGCAAATAAATCATTATCTGTACACCAAGTGTTCAAATTCTTAACATTTTTACCAAACTTTTATAGTATTTTAGCTTTTGCTGGACTTTACAATATTGGGTAGTTCATCAGCGAAGTCGCGTAGGCAGGGGTTTTCAAGACAATTAAGATCCTTCCAGTGAGAAAAATTATCCCTAACTTGAAAGGAAAAAAATACAATATAAAATGAAAATTGTAAATTAATAACTTATATTGCGCAAAATACCGATCAAATAACCGAAAATTTACGAAAGGTCCACATCACGGGAGGAAGAAAGAAAATCTCATCAGGGGAATTATAAAGAAAACTTTACACAGGAAGTAGTCATAAAATATAAATATCGTCACGGGATAGTAACGACATCTAATATATAAAAATCATCGTTTTGAAAATGCATGAAATATTTGCCAGTGGACGCAAAACCATCAAACAATCTAGAAAAAAATCCCATCAGAGGAAAGTTAAAAACTGTTTTCACTCAGTTCCTGAAATCTAACCCCCAAAAAAGAAGGATATGTTGGATGGATACAGAAATATATTACCATGCAACAAATCCACGTATACATGCGAACTTATCAAAGAGTTGTTGTAGGAATTCTTCA